AGGGAGACGCCAAAGACCACTAAACCTCCTGCCTTGACCTGACTGTATATGGATCCATTCAGAATCACTAAACCACTGACCACCGCATAATCTAACACACCTTCAGCCAGCATCCATTATAAAACACTCTTGCTTTTAGGCCAAATAGTTTACTGACATCTGGACGCAAGTCACTATTCTCTGTATTAGCGCTGTTTTGAACTTATTGCTTGAATTCGCTTACTGGATCCTTGGACATTCCAGGAGTTCGCAAAGACCATTGTTTTCGTTTTAATGTACTGATTCAAATTAGTAATCAATAATTAATTATTATGCCCTCGTACCACACATTGACAACCCCTGAGGTAGACCAACTCCGCCTGCATTCATTCACGTGGTTTGTCAAGATGAGAGGTGACCCCTCCCGGTACTGTACGTGCCAAAACATGTGCAATTTGCTTAAATCAGTAAGAAATTCAAATCTGATGTGGACAAGAAACTATTTGTTTAGACATCTGAACATTGTTTTGAGAGAAAAAAACTCATTTGAGGACTGAGTCAAAGCGATTGAGAAAAACTGTAAGTAGTTTGAGGTAATAATAGAGCTTTGCTGTTCAATTCAGCTTAGCAATTCAGCGATGTAATGACAATGACAAGACAGCACATAAAATCTAAGCAAGACATTTTAACAGTGAAAGGATCTGTAGTATGTATTACTGTTAAAAAGTTCTATATAATTTCTTGTGTAAATTTTAGGTTGGCCTGTAATCCTAATGAAAAATAAAGTTAAAAATGAATGAGCTTAATGAACAGTTTTTTGTGTTTGTGCAGTATCTGGTTCAATGCTCTCATGTGAATCACTTGCAGTCAGGGGATCCGCTGAGCTTGAGGTGATGTTCTCACGCTGTTCTGTGGTGGAACTACTGCGGTTCATCTGGCCTAGAGATACAATATATTGTTAGAAAACTTTAGAATTAGCATCAGCTCATGCTGATTTCATACCTATTCAGTATGTTATACGTTTCACTTGATAAACCCCACACTCTAAACTAACCCAACC